GCAGTTGGACCAAGTAAACAAGCCAGTTGGTATAGCATTCAAGCATAGATAAAGCAGGCTCAACATCCCTGGGTTTGCCTATGTTGCATGCATGAGCAATGAATGCATGCTTTAAGAAGCTCCTGTATACAGGAATGGAAGTGATCAAGAGCAGCCAAAAAGGCATTTTGTGGACCTACTGATGTTTCACCTCATTCAGAGCAGTTTGTCAGCTGACTGCTGGCATTGCTAGCTGCACACTGAAATCTCATGGCAGGATCAAAGAGGGTTTTGACCTCTTCCAGCTACAGTGCACTGCTAACCTGCAAAAGCAAGAGGGTTTTTTGCCCTCCTCTGTAGAGAGGGATGTGGCTTTCTTCCTGGGATTCTTTTAAGTATATATTTAACAACCTTTTACAGAATCAGGATATTGGTTGTCATGGTCCCTCCCTGCTTTACCTGTGCAGGTTATGGTGTTGTGTTTTGTGTTGCGTCAGGAGTGACTGTGTAACTTTACTAAGATGTCAGACAATGGGTTTGTATAAGATAGTTTGGATAGGGATGATCCTGCCTAAGGCAATGGGGGTTGGATTAATGGACCTGTGGCAGTCCCTTCCAGCTCTGCTTCTCTGTGGGTGTCTTTGCCCATGCTCTGAGGTGCAGAGAGAAGCTGCTTTAATTAAAGCGCCCACAGCACAGTGTACTCAGTGCCTCCTGCTTCAAAATGGCAGCAGGGGTGCTTTAACTAAAGCTCACTGGATGATCTTCAGCTAAAGCACCCCAACGCCACTTTGAAGTGCAGACACACTGCATACACATGATGCCAAGGCTGCTGGAGCATTCTAATTAGATTAATCAAATTAACCCTTAGGAATTAGAGCGCGGCAGAGCAGGCATCAGGCACGTGTATAGATACCCTTTGATAAGAGAATTGTACAAGGCTTAAACAGCAAAAAGAACAGACCACAGCCACAGGTTTGTGAGCGACATTGCAGGGAAAGTGGTTCAAATGTTTGGCTGTAAATTGACCTAGTGAGTCAGGCACACTTGTTGCAACAGTGGTGTAACATGGGATGGGGGAGCAAGCCATGTGCCACAAGCACCAGCTACAGGGAGGGGGGCCAGAAGGATGGGGAGGGGGTGCCTCACCTTTTAGTCCCTTGCTCTGCCTGTATTTTCCAGCTGCACGAAGCACTTGGCTCCAGCAGTGCACATCATGGAGCACAAGGCACTCTGAGAATCGTAGTTTTGTAGAGCGAAAATGGAATTTGCTGCTGTTGGGAGGAAGGGCGGAGGAAGAGAATCAGCCTGATATTTTGTCACTGAAATCAGCAGTTATTTTTGCCTTCTCAACATGGGCCTCAGCAGCAAAAAATGGGGTGAAAGTTTCCCTCAGCAGCAGCAAACTCCAGTGCCTTGCTGAAGAACTAGGATTCCCAGAATATCTTGCATTCCACGAAACACTGCCTGCACCACTCCCATGCACTGCCTCCTGTGCAAGCCAAGCCGGGGAGAAGCAAAGGTGAGAGACGGCTGCCTGCAGCATTCTTCTTCCCACATTATACCTCTGCATCCCACTTCTAAAGTTATTCCAATTGCTATCTCCTTAGGCTGAGACAGAACTGTAGGGCTGGAAGGGACCCCTCAATGGGTCATCTAGTCCAAATCCCTGCTTGAGACAAGATTTTAGGACGGAGAATGTCCCCAACTCCAAACTGCTAAACCTGGCAGGTTTTTTGATAGTTCCCAAAACTTGGAATGCCATGAGATTCAGCCTTGCCTTCTAAGTTGAGTCTATTATGATCTTTTTTTCTTCCCCAGCTATGATAAAAATGAGTACTAGCAAGAGTGCTTTGTCTAACAAAATGACTTGTCCAATTATGAAGATACAACAGAACCTTTGAGTGTTTTTCAGAATTAAATCTCCAAGCCTTTCACATTTCTCCTAAATCCCCCAAATTATCACTTGTCATTAGCATGAAAACACCACACTTATTTTTTGAAGGCAAATTTAGTTCTTGTGAAAACCACTATTTCACTACCTGCAACATTCTGCTTACAGAAGCAGACTACTCAATGCTGCTTTTCCAGTGTCATTAATAACTAATAATCATGTCCTGTTTTGAAAGAATTGCTCACCAGAAATTAAAAGATAGCTAGATCTACACGTTCACCTACTCAGTTCTTAGCCACTCACCTGAGAGCCAGTCTAATAGCGATTTCAGTTGCACCTGAACAGCCTTTCAATGATAATTTTTTTTTTGCTTTATTTTAAAAGAAAAGAAAGATGCTGAATCAAAGTCATTTAGGAAAGAAAATATATGCAGTCTTGATGCACATACTGAAGCTATCGTTAGAAAAAAGGCCATCACTCCCTCAAATGATGATGGGAGGTAGCAGTTTTATTTTCATCATGGTTTTTCAAACCAATTTAGAGTTCGCTCCACCTACACAGCAAAAAAGATGAGCTTATTTCATAACTCAGAACATTGGATTTGGCCTCCACATCAATATTAAATTCTTCAACTGGTTTCAAAGATGACACATGATTATTAAGTCTGGTTAAAATTACATTCCAGTAGAACTGGCTTATTTAAATGCACTTTTAAACCTTTTTGTCCTTCAAAGAGATATGTCGGTTTTTTTCCTCCCCAAATCCTCCCACTGCTTCCAAACAGCTAGCATCCACGGCAACACTGGTAGCAACTGCACACGTCACCGAGACACAATTAGTTTGTGTTTCCATGGCTCCCAATACTGGTTTCATGAGAAATAGTTATTCAAAACAGCTCTTCCAAGTATTGCTATCACAAGGTCTTTTAAAGCTTGCTCCCCATCAGTCTATATAGATGGACTCAATTGAATTTCCCCTATTTTACCTCAGCTAAACAAATTAACTCTTACGTGATCACAGCTTAGTTTGTTATGCAACAGTTGTTTTATTTCTATAGCAAACGTTCCTTAGCACTTAGCTAAAGGGATTAGATGTGAGGCAAGTTCTGGAGGTAGGGAAACTGCCACTACGCCGTCAAATGCCAAATGAACCACATTAGAATGGAAAAAGCTTTCTTACGTGGTATCCAACAGTAGGTGTTAAAATACAGTACACGTTGAGCTGCTAAGTGGGGACAAATTCCTAGAGTCTGCCTGCCTTGAGGAACTGTCCTCCTCAAAAGAAAATTGACGAGAAAATTTCAGGATCCTGGCCAAAACTTATTAATACCACACCAGTGGCCTAAGGTCATGAGTGAGATGATGTGCCTTGAAAGAAAGGAGCTCCCCCAAGATAGTCGAGTTCTCCTGCCCACTTCCACCAACTGAACTTGCAGCCTCTAATACATCACTACCACTCCCTTCTGACCTACACAGCACAGAACTGGAAATTAGTTCCCACTGCTAGCAAGAATTAATTCAGCTTTAAAATCAAAGCTCCTGAGATTTTTAGCTGGAGCAGTACACTTCCTTCCTCATGGGTTTTCAGACTATTGGTCTTACAATCAGAGCTCTACAGGGCCCAGTCCTGAACAGTGCCCATGCCCAGTTCTGTGTAGCGTGAACAATAGTGCATCGCCAGTGACTTCACTCAAGTCCCGGCCTACGCCATCTTCTAGTCACTAAGCATAAGGGCTGAAAGGGAAAAACCAAACACAAGAGGAAAGAAAAGTTGCATCCAATGTTGTGATTTTAATTATAGTGGAAAGGCTCCCCTTACACAAGGTTCCTCCTACTGCTCTTCGGCAAACACCTGTCAGTGGAGCACGCTTCTCCTCAAAAGGAGGCATAGTATGAATGTTGTGTGCCTCTTCTCTTCATGGCACTTGTTGAGCCACTACGACAGCTGGAAAGAGTTGCACAGGTTTGAAGTACAGGCTTGAAGCCTCTACGTAGCGACTTCTTATGGAATAAAGGAAGACTAAGCAATCTTCCCAAGCTGCTTTGCAGGCTGTTCCTGTGTGCAAAAGACCCTGGGCACTTTTACTTCCTCTCTCGTTTCATTCCTCCTTTAAGAAAGCACTGTGAACAAGTATTCCAGCCCTGGTACATGCTCTGTATGAACATCTGCAGTAAATGAGATATTCGGGATATTTTCCGTTTCCCTGCTTTTGCCCCTTTTCAGCCCACTGCATCACATTCTCTCCGAACACTAAACTAGGTTGTTTCTAGTAAAAATCTTCCCCAAGGCAACCCTATAGCTCTACCCAGGAGAGAGAGTATGTTCTGCAACTTCTACCATCAAACTGGTTATTTTCTTCAGGTGAAACTCACCTTTATGTTTGACAATACTAAGACCTTTGATGTCTTGACCATTCCTCACTCCAAGGTTTTGTTTAGGGCTTTTTGGGGGGTGGGGGGTGAGGATATTTGTAGGTCATACGCCTGATGCCACTCACTATACACAAGGTGATTTCCACCCTTTCTGAGGACAGTTTGCTTTCATTGCAATTAATGAATGACATACATAACAACGGAGTGTTCATATATATACACTGGTATATACTGAAACTTAGTATTTTTAGTGCTTTCTCACTGGCTGGAAATCACTGCAATTTTGCAAAGAGTAGTTAGCCACGTTAGCCTGAAGTCAGTCACAAGGCAGGGTAGATATGCACCTTTCAGACTAAGTAAGACACAGGGGGAGGGGGAGGAAAAGAGCAAGCACACACAAGCTTTCACAGCTTAATTAAGTGCGCTTCAGCCCATGAAAGCTTGTGCTCTCTATGTATTGTATTTAGTTAATTTATAAAAGTTGCATATCTACTCTGCCTTCTGCCATTTTGCAGCCAGTGCTGATCCAGATCTTAGAGGAGAAAAACTGCACTCTCTTGGGGATTTACATCCATTTATTATATACACTGCAAAATGCCTAATATTATTTAAAGATCCTAATCTTCAAAGTTAGGATGGATCCAAACATTAATCTCAAAACTTTGTTTGCATTTTTCCATCGAATCTTTAGGCCCTAGGCTGCATTCCTAAAACTCTTTCAGGCAGTAGAAGAAAGGCAGGCATGGCATACTTACACTTCACTCAGTAGAGCATGGTCACTGGTGTTTGTGGAGAAATGCTGTTCCAGAATAGATACAGTTCCAGTGAGAGCCACATGACCACAGCCACAAAACAATGCTACCCCAGAGAAGCAGAGAATGGTTGCCACAAGTGAAGCATATGGAACGCCTCCCAGGCACTTAATGCAACATTCAAAGCAACCTAAGCAGAAAAGATAAAACAAAGGAAGCATTATTGAGGAGAAGAGCAAATTATTAGGAAAAGAACATTCACTCTTCCTTTGGTAAAACCAACTGGGGGTCTCTCTCAAGCCTTAAAAATTGGCAAAGCAACATGTGGAAAACGAATGCATGATACAGGATAACACTTTCTGCTCAAGAGCAGTGACCTTCAGTTTTGTCTGTGTGAACTCAAAGCACACAGATGAAAATAAATGGAGTGCTTATAAATAAAAAAAATGCCATTGATGAGGCAGCCCATAAATTGAAAAATAGAAATCCATTTGGCTAAGTAACACCTTCAGATCTGGCTAGTTTTAAAACATACTGCATTTAAGACTTACTGGTACTACCAATACCTAGTGTCAGTCACGTTGTTGTCATATCCCTTAAACCCAGGAAGTAAAAGCAAAAAGCAGGAAGCATTCTAGAAGAATAATAAGGTATTTTGTATTTTTTACTGTCAAAGGTTTATATTCTCACATTCTCAAAAATCCAACTCTAGGACATTCCTTTGACTAAAGATTACAATTCTAGGAAAAGTCCAATTATTTGTATGAACGGGAAACAAAATTATATAAGCCATTTTATAGTTTAGTTATAAAAATGAACAGAGCTGAAAAAACTGGCAGAGAATATTTAGAAATTTTTTTTTAAGGGATAAAATATATTTTAAAAACAAAAGAAAAAAAGATTATTTATCAAACTAAAATTGAGATGTCTTTTTAGAAGGAACAATGAGTTCTAAGCTGAACTCTTAGACAGCATGTTTTTGTTTCAAATTTTATGGACAGTACAGATGTACATTGTTCTTTCTCTAAAGACTACAATGATACAGCCATAGAGCTGGATACTGAACTGAGCATGCCAATAAAAAAAGAACTTAATGTTAATCGAGTTACATTCACACACACACACACACACACACACACACACACTTGCTCTACAGATGCTAATAAAGGTAATTCAGTTGCATCTACCAGATTCCCACTGAGCGCTTTGCCTGACAATCTATTTGCTTGCAGGACTGGGAAATGTAAATTGGAAACAAACATGGCTTTAACTGCGTTATAATGGTAATGGCAATCTATACCAATTAATTACTTCACAGTGATGGCATTAAGTTTGCTAAGCATCCTCTATTTAGTGTGCATTTCATATAATTGGGCAAAGCATAAACCATTAGGATACTTCTTAATGGAATTACCAATGCAACAGAAACAGTCTGCTTCTCTCAGCATAGAGGATGAAATGAATAATAAACCATTTGAAGTTAGAGAGGCAGCTGGTGAAAATTATCTATATAGATATATATCTATGTATATAGATATATATCTATGTATATAGATATATCATAGTTTCTTGTCTCACAAATTCCACAAGAAGATTAGCAAATTTATATCTAAATAAAGCAGATTTATTTTTAACATCCTTTCCTAGTAATGAATGAGCTTTGGAATAGACACATCTACAAAGCATTTGGGAATAATATGCATGCAACAACAACAGAAAGCTCTCTCACCACTTCAGCAATATAAAACTCTGCTGTAGAGATCTGTTATCAAATGTCCCATCATCCTTAAACACTGCTGAGATGAAATGTCACTTCACTAAATGCATACAAGATTCAATTATGTGGAAACCAGACTCGAAAACTTGCACAGTCAAGACTAGAACTGAAATCCATTCAGTAAGGCCTCATATCCCACAGAATAACTAGACAGCTTGGTGTGTGTTTAACATAAAGGGACAGAAAGAAGAACAGGAAATGCAAAAGCGTGCTATGGGAGGAAATATAACCACTAAGGTGTGCATCTCATCACAGAAGTTCAAACCTAAAGCAAGGTTCAGAATGACAGATATTGCAGGGTGATAACCAGATGGGACCGTTTAGTTTGGGGAAATTTTCTGGATACAACTTATTGATTCGCTCTCATACTGGGGACACTGTGCATCTGTCAGGCGGCAAATATCAGTTTGAATGGAGGATTATTGGTCTCCTTTAACTTTTGCCTCCATGTTGTGATGCAGCATGCAAAGGGGTGACATGCCAGATTCTTGCACCTAGCCCAGGGTCAACAATAGAGTTATTAAACTCTGATAATCTTCTAAATCAAATGGAACAGCCTTGGACAAAGATTCTACAGCCTGGGTCAAACACATTTTTCTAGTCTGACTGGAGGAGTGAGGATTATAAAGTAATAGATTAGCTGGTGAAGGCCTGATCACCTGACAAGTCTCATCCAAGGAGCACTTAACCAAGTGGGCAAGAAGTAATAAAAGGAAGTCTTACCAATCATGCATGAGACACACCAGGGGCAGATCAGATGTTTAACCACAGGAGTGAGAGCTCTTGACCATGGGGCATAAGCCCCAAATTGATGAGATGAGTGGGGGAAGGGACACCTTAGAGGATCAGGACAGAGAATTGACACAGGGACATGCATGTAGGTGATCATTATGCCTACATCTGTGCATTTCTTCTGCTGGATAAAGTAAAGAGATATTGGCTTTCGGAGTCCTTACAAAGTATGTGCATCTGTTTGCTTCAACTAAGAGACATGAACAATGAAATAAAGTAGACAAGAGCGCTGCTCTGGGAAAGGGCATGCTTAAGCTATTGAGGAGTCTGGTGGTGGCTGTGGTTAGCATTGGTTCCAGGAGACTAAAAGCATATGGGCAGAGTCCCATTTTCAGAAAGGAATAACTGATAGTGGGCCTGGTCCAGGCAGTGTGCTAGAGAAGCACAAGAAATAATGCTGCAGCCCACCCAAAGGAAAGCTTAACAGCACAGGGGCCAATGTTGTGAGATCCAAGACACAGCAGCCTGGAAGCATCTGGGTGGGAGAGCTCTACCAAGGTGGTGCTCTCCCCTGCCTTGGAGGTCTTTAAGAGGAGACTTGACAAACACCTGGCTGGGGTCATCTGACCCCAGCGCTCTTTCCTGCTCAGGGCAGGGGGTTGGATTCGATCTACAGAGGTCCCTTCTGATCCTAAAAAATCTATGAAATTCTAAGGCTGTGCCTCACGATCAGTGATGTGAAAAACTTGTTAGAAGAAACAATATAATCATCAAGTCCTTTTCATTCACAATTCCTAGTTGAACAATTTGTTCAGGGACCCAGACATTGTGGTGTCCTTATGCTATCCTTCAGATTCTCCATTAGTTTTATTCCAATCCCTTAACTTGTTGCTGCTATAAGATTCATTTGTCCTGAAGGGTAGGATGTTTGACCTCCTTTACAGTCAACATCAGAGCTGCTCTAGAAGTCAAAAAGGCAAACAGTACTGAAGAATGATACAGCTGAACAACCCACACAAATCTTAGATCCACATGGGCCCAAGGACTAAAGGCTGCTCTCCAAACTAGGTAATTCCAGTAAACTGGGCAACCTGTGCTGTGAATCCCAGTTTGCCATAGGGTAGTAAACTTCTAACTCAGAGGTTTTTTAAAATCAGTCATCAAGTTAATACCTGTGATTATGCTATGTAACTATGGCACATTAATGAACATGTAGACATGCCCACAGAGTCCCAGCAAATACCCACCAATTTGCCCTTGGCTACTGGGAAAACTGGGATACTTTAGTCTATGCATAAACAGCTCATTCCTAAAGCCTAACTTTAAACAAACAAAAAAAGAAAATACTGTAAATAGCTTATTTCTATGGCGGATATACTACACACACGTGCATTCAGTAAGTATAAAACCTTTACACTGGAACTTATTTTTATATACTGCAACAATTTTTATCGAAGACCATCAGCTTTGCACAACAGTGTTTTGAAACAGTAAGTTGCCAAATGTCCAAATCTTCATTTTCATATGACAACCTTAAAGAATGTACTGTACTTTGAGTCACTTGTGTCCACACCAATTGACCTAACCAGTATAGAGTTTGTCTATTTTGTTTTAAAAAAAAATATTAATTTTACCTACACGTTACCAGAAAAACCAAGAGCAGGGTTTCAAAATCAGATATACGATTTCACAAAACAATAAAAAAATTTCCTACCCAACTTCCTATACCTTGGGTTATACCAGGAAAACATGCAATTTCCATTAAATACAAAGGACCACAGCCTCAGCTGCTCTCTGGAACTAAAGCATTTTATATCAGCTGAGGATCTAGTTCAAGGAGTTTCATCATTGGCAGTTTGCTTATAAACCTCTGCAATATTTCTGATTCAACACACCACAATTTACTACACCAATGAGCAGCAGTGAATGTTTATAAAATAAATATGAAACAGGCAAAGTAACTTGATAACTTTCTATTGGTGACGTCAGGCTGAATACTCTATGAGCAACAGTGTAGTGTTTACAATGTTTTTGCAAGTTATTAGAAGATGTAAAAAAATCTGCTAAAGAAAAAGTCTGCCAGTGTCTTCATATTTTGCATATGGATAATCCTATGAATCTTTCATCTCTAGATGCACTCCAACACACAGTGGAAAGAAATTTAAATATAAGCCAATACAGTATAAATACACATCACTGCATCTAGCTTTCAATGGCCATTTTGTTTAAAGCATCACTAGAACCTTTTGTGCAGCTCAGCAGAATAAAAACATTTTTTGTCCTCAGGCTGGTGAACAGCAGTTGCCATGGAGGCAGGTTAACAACAGCCCAATGATTTGCCCCAAGCTGCCTGTGATCCTGGCTACAGATTTAAACACACTTTCTGAAAGAAGCCAGCTAAAACAAGGACTGAGATTATTCTCTAGGGAAATGAATGCTATCTCACACGCACACGCGCACACACACACACACACACACTGAATATTTTTTGCTAAGGGACAAAAATAAGAGAGAGAAAGAACAGGAACCAACTATTCTTTTTTAGTCTCTTGGAAACTTAGGGTCACGGGAAATTGGTAGAGGATGAACCTATACATTTAAAAACTCCACCAGTGATACTAATTGTTTATATATTTACCCTTTTTGATATGCATTAAGCAATACGCCCAAAAGTGTTCATA